TAGAACATTTTTCTGTACAATCAATTAATGATGAAGTATGAATTTTATTCTATTGGACTGAGAAAAAAATAAAATACTGCGATGCGGAGGATCTTTCTATTAAAATTAAGAGCTTATATTTGGTGAGAATTCTTATAAGGTGTCTAGCAACCCATTTTTCCGTGGCAATTGTAAAAAAAAAAAATTTATTTTTTTGACCCACCCTAATATATATTATTTAACAAAATAAGAACGATCAATCTGTACAATAAAAATTGATATATCCTCGTATATTTTATTTTGCAGCATTAGTATTAGGTCTCTATCCAAATTCTTGGCAAGGTCCGTTATCAACGTCGTTATTTTGGAGATGGTTAGGATTATCATTAGCATTGGGTCTTCATGGTTTGGTATGCACACGTTTTCGCGTATTAGGATTGGCGTGTATGTTGTTGCTATCGGTCGTGCCTTACGTTTGGTTAGAAATTAGATTATCTAAACGTGGCAAAAGTTTGGCACCGTTGTGACCAATCGAATCAACGGCCAGCGATCGTGGTTCAACGATCGAGGTCGAAGGCAGGCATAGATCGGACTGAGGTAAAATCGTTCCATCCAGTTTAAAACCAATCAGAAGAAAAATAAGCAGCAGCGTCAACAACGGTAGTAGCAGCAGCAGCAACAGACGTAGAAGAAGCAGCCCGGTTACGGAATACGCGACATTTAACGTGAAAGGAGACAAAAAATCTTCGAGAAAAAGGGCAAACAGCGTTGCTTTCGCTTGTCAAACTACCACTGTGAAAACAACTACGATTATTGCTACTACCAACGAGGAGGACACGTTTCTTTCAATTCCAATAAAAAATGAACAGGAACGTAGGAATAGCGATAAAGACATAGTAATCGTTAAAGACGAACCAAAATGCACCATTTTTTCATTATCATGAAGGAAATTTTTTTTTTTAAATCGTACAAACACCACCATGACGACGATAATATATTCTTCAAATATTTCTCTAAATTCTTTGTCCTCGTTTTTTTTTTCTCGAGTAAATGATATATAT